TACATTAATTTCATTTTTCTTAATATATGTGAAATAAAAACAAGCCTATTTTTATGAGACGGAGGGAGTAAATATTAAGTGAAAATGATTACTGTATTAATGTGTAGCGGACATGCACCTAATTGTTGTATTGTGCTGGGAAGGTAAGTTTGGTACCTGAGCAAAATGAAAATGCACAAGGAATGATGAATATGTTTCGGCATCCCTTTCTCTAAGTCGTGAAAGCAAATTTGTTTGTAAATGATTGAACTACATAAAGGAAAAGGAAAATAATCTTAAAATTTCACAAGTTTCTTTCTTTATTTTGCTCAACCATTCATTTCATAGCATATTCGTTGAATACTTTGTGCTTTGTCCTTTCACTTCGTTGACTACCCTCGTTTTTAGCATGAAAAACAGAAAAACAAGTAATTATTATTATTATGATTATTTTGAAGCTAGAGTAAAAGATGTGGTTTGTGTATTTTTAGCATGAAAAGGTGTTCCACAACAAGAGGTTGGCTAAGTGTTCATATTTTAATCATTGATCCCATCGTGTCCTTGCAACTCAATGCCATCCCTAATCATTAGATAATGCATAATGCTATCATTTTTCTATGTAGCAAATGGGTCACTACTGTCCAATGAAGTTGTGATACATTTTTAAAGGTTGGATAATACTGCAGTAATCCCATTGGTCCCAAGCCTAGATGAAGATTATAACTCTTAGATGATGATAACCATTAGAAGGTTGTTTGAGCCACATTCTTAAATAGTGATTGGACTTTACCTTTATGTCCTTTTACTTCATAGCCCATTGGTTGCTCCACATAGATTTCTTCTTCGAGATAACCATTTAGAAAAACTGATTTCACGTCCATTTGAAATATCTTCCACTTATTTTGCGCTGCAAGAGAGATGATTAATCTTATGGTTTCTAAACGAGCAACAAGAGCAAATACCTCTTCATAATCGATTCCCGACCATTGGTTGTAGCCTTTGGCAACCAATCTTGCTTTGTATCTTTCTACTTCTCTTTTAGCGTTCTTTTTTACCTTGTACACCCACTTAACTCTGATTGCTCTCTTTCCTTTGGGAAGAGTTGTCAGCTCCCACATGTCATTTTTCTCTATAGCATTAATCTCTTCATCCATAGCATCTCTCCATCTTTTATTTTGCACCGCTTCTTCATACCCTATTAGCTTACAATCGACAAAAAGACAAAAAAGTGTGAGATCATTTTGATTTTCTGTTACCTCATAAAGCTCTTAAGGGCTCCTCATCCGTGGTGTCCTTTCACTTGAGCTCTCTCCTTGTGAAGATGATGGAGAAACATCTCCATGGGTAGGTGATAGAGGTGGACTGATAATCTCTTACTGCTCTCCATTCTCTTGTTCTTCTTTATCAAAGAATGGTAAGAAGTCATAATCTTCTTCTTGGGCACCCCAATCCCAAACTCCTTCTTCATCAAACTCGACATCTCTACTTATGATGATCTTCTCCTTGTTTGGATTATACAACTTGTAGCCTTTAGAGCGAGAGTCATAACCGATAAAAACATACCTTTCACTCCTGTCATCTAGCTTGGACTGTTTTTGATCTGGTACATGAGCATATGCAATGCTCCCAAATACTCGTAATGAAAGATGCTGGGCTTTCTTCCACTTCATGCTTCTTGTGGTGTCTTATTCCACACATCTCTAGAAGGTGATCGGTTAGACAGATATACGGCGCAATTAACAGCTTCGGCTCAAAGTTCTTTAGGCAATCTCTTACTTTTGAGTATGCAGCGGGTCATGTTAAGAATGAATTTGTTCTTTCTTTCGACTACTCCATTTTGTTGTGGAGAGTATAGAATCGTCAATGGGCAACAAATTTCATTCTACTCACAATATTTCTCAAACTTTTTGGAGGTGAACTCTCCTCCTCTATCCGTTCTCAAGGCTTTTATACTATATCCACTTTCTTTTTCAATAAGAGCTTTAAACTTCTTAAAAGTTTCAAAAACTTCCAATTTTTTTTAGAAAATAGACCCAAGTCTTTCTACTAAAATAATCAATAAAAAGAACAAAGTAATTGCTATTACCAAGAGCCCACAAATATCGGAGTGTACAAGTTCTAGCGGCTTCTTAGCTCTTGTAGAAGCTTCTTTTGGAAAACTTTTCCTCAAATGCTTTCCAAGTAAGTATCCTTCACATAATTGGTCCCCATGATTTATTGGAGGCAAATCTTTCACCATTTTCTTCTTACTCAACAACTTTAAACCTCCAAAATTAAGATGCCCAAATCTCAAGTGTCAAAGTCAAGATAAATCTTTAAAACAAGCTTTTAAATATTTAGCAAAGTCATTTTGAATGCTTAGCACAAACATTCTATTTCTTGTCATAGGGACTTTGGTAATCAAATTTTCTCTTTGATCTCTTATTGAAAGACTATGATCTTTCAAATGAATATCATAGCCCTTTTCTAAGAGTTCTTCTAAACTTAAAATGTTATTCTTCATATTGGGCACATAATGGACATTTGAGATAAATTGATGTATACCATTTTTCAAGCGGATCAAGATTTTACCTTTTCCTTTCACTGGGATCTTGGATTCATCTCCAAAGGTAATGTTTCCGCTTACTGAATCATCAAGCTCCACAAACATGTTTCTTCTTCCACACATATGGTTGCTTGCTTCTGTATCCAAATACCAAGTGTTCTTTTCTCTGCTTTCTTCACCTTTGTAAGCCAACAGTAGTGCAGGATCTACTTCACTTTCCTGACAAGCGTAGCTGGCTTTCTCCTCAACTTGGTTAGTAATATTTCTACATTCTGAAACATAATGACCAAGTTTTTGACAATTGTAATATTTAATTTGAGTTTTGTCACCTTGGTCCTTCATTTTGCCTTGTACATTTTCCTCTTCCCCGACCTCTGGTGGAAAATAAACTTTGTCTTCTTTCCTCCTTGTAGAATGCAATTCTGCCTCTATCTTGGCCTCGTCTTCTTCATCTTTGGCTTCTTCTACTGTTGAACCTTCCTTCACCCTCGTTCAAAGTGAGCTTTGTTTGAAGAGCTTGCTCTAATGGCTCTTCTTTCACCTTCTTCCTTAGTCTTTCCTCATGAGCTTATAAAGATCCCTAAGTTGATCGACACTCATACTGTCTAGATCTGTAGATTCCTCAATGGCTACAACTATGTAGTCAAATTTAGAATCTAAAGACCTAAGTATCTTCTCAATTACTCGAGTGTCATTCAACTTTTCTCCATTCCTCTTTAATTGATTCACAATAGCCAATACTCTAGAGAAGTAATTAGAAATTGATTCCGATTCTTTCATATGTAAAGTTTCAAACTCACCTCGAAGTGTTTGGATTTGAACCTTTTTCACCTTCTCAACTCCTTTGTGGGAGTTTTGCAGGATCTCCTATGCTTCCTCACACGTAGTAGCACAAGCTACTTTCTCAAACATGCCTTAATCTAAGGCTTGATAGATGAGGGTGAGCGCCTTCTTGTCATTCATCTATGCATCCTTCAAACTATCCCTTTGTGTTTGGGATAGAGCAACCTCGTCTTGTGGCTCCGTGTAGCCTTTCTCTACAATCTCTCATACATCTTGCGACCCAAGCAATGCTTTCATCGTTATATTCCAATTGTCGTAGTTATCCTTGTTGAGTGTGGGGACTTGAAAAGGAATCATCCCACTTACCATTTTTTACAAGAACCTTAGGGCTCTGATATCCGTTTGTTGGAGGAAAGATGGATTTACTAACTTGGATTGGGTAAGGCTTTTAAGGAGGACAACACTAATAGGAAGAAGGAAGTGAACAAAAGGAAACTTGTATTTCTCAACTTCAACACTTTACACGCTTTTTTGGCTTATTACAAAATGGAGGGCACTACCCCTTTATATAGTGGTTACATAAAGATTCTAGTCCACACATTTTTTAGAGACACCTAGACCACACATCAAGATATTTTCCTAGAATTCTTTAGATATTCTTTATAAGATCATATATCTTACTTAGATATTTATATAGATTTTTCTAGTAGATATTTATATAGATTTTTTTAGATAATGTTTCTAGAAATGCTAGGTATGTTGAGCCTTTTAATTGATTTGGACATATAAGCAAAATCTTTAAGACCATATTATTTAGTCCAAAAATCAAGTTTACTACTCAACAAGAATTTCAGGCCCAGCCATATAAAAACCAGCCCATCAGATTAGATCAATTTTTTTTTTTTTTTTTTGGGGGGGGGGGGGGGGGGGGGGG